GACTACGACTACGACTACGACTACTTCTACTACTACTACTTCTACTACTACTACTACTACTACTACTACTACGACTACTACTACTACTACTGAGACTACTACTACGACTACTACTACGACTACTACCACGCTTACTACTACGACTGCTACTACGAGTACAACGACTACTACAACTACTACTACTACAACTACTACTACTACTACTACTACTACTACTACTACTACTACTATTACTCCGACTACTACTACGACGACTACTACTACTACTACTACTGCTACTACTGGTACTACTGGTACTACTACTACGACTACTACTACTACTACTACTACTACTACTACTACGACGACGACGACCACTACCACTACCACTACTACTGCTACTACTACTACTACTACTACTACTACTACTACTACTACGACTACTACGACTTGTACTACTACGACTACTACTACGACTACTACTACAACTACTACGACTACTACGACGACGACGACGACGACGACGACTGCTACTACTGCTACTACTACAACTACGACTACGACTACGACAACCACGACTACTACTACTACTACTACTACTACTACTACTACTACTACGAGGGCTGACATCACTCTGCTTGCCAAACTTATTCCTTGGAAGGTTGGAAGGGTGGATGGTGGGGATCCTGGGGGGGAAACCGCCGCGCACGAAAAATACACGAAGACCATACGATTACCATACGACTACCATACGACCACCATACGATAACCATACGACTACCATACGGTTACCATACGACTACCACACGGGTACCATACGACTACCATACGCTTACCATACGACTACCAGACGTCTACCATACGACTAGCAAACGACTACCATACGACCACCATACGATTACCATACAAATACCATACCATTACCATACGGCTACAATACGACTACCATAAGACTACCATACGATTACCATACGAAAACCGTACGACTACTATACGACTACCATACGATAACCATACGTTTACCATACGATTGCCATCCGGGTACCGTACGATTACCATGCGATTGCCATACGACTACACTACGATTACCATACCTTTACAATCCGATTACCATACGATCACCGTACGATTACCGGACGGTTACCATACGATTACCATACGATTACCGTACGATAGCCAAACGAATACCCTATGATTACCAAACGGTTACCAAAAGAAAACCATGCGACTACCATACGACTACCAAACGATTACCACTCGATTACCACACGAAAACCATACGATTACCGTATGAAAACCATACGGCTACCACACGGAAAATTTACGACTACCATGCGCCTACCATACGATTACCACACGATTACCATACGATTACCATGCGAAAACCACGAGACTACCATACGAACACCATACCATTACCATACGAACACCATACGACTACCATACGATCACCATACGACGACCATGCGATTAGCATTTGATTACCATACGATTACCATACGATTACAATACGAGAAAAAAACCTACGACCACCATACGATTACCCTGCGACGACCATACGACTACCATACGGCTTCCATACGACTACCATACGATTGCCATACGATTACCATACGACTACCATGCGATTACCATGCGATTACCATACGATTACCATACGACTACCATACAATTACCATACGGCTACCATACGATTATCATGCGAGTTCCACACGCTTACCATACGATTACTATACGACTACCATACGATTACCATACAATTACCATGCGACTACCATACGACTGCCATACGGTTACCACACGATTACCAGACGACTCCCAGACCACTACCATACGACTACCATACGACTACCATACGACTACCAAACAATTATCATACGATTACCATACGATTACCATCCGATTACCATACGGTTGCCATCCGATTACCTTACGATGACCATACGAAACCCATACGATTACCATACGATTACCATACGAGCACCACACGAGAACCCTACGAACACCTACGAGAGCCATACGATTGCCACAATTACCATGCGAAAACCATAAGATTGTCATACGAACACCATAAGGTTACCCTACGATAACCCTACGAAAACCATGCGACTACCATACGATTACCATACGACCACCATACGATTACCATACGACTACCATACGATTACCATACGGAAGAAACCATGCGACCACCATACGATTACCCTACGACGACCATACGACTACCATACGGCTTCCATACGACTACCATACGATTGCCATACGATCTCAATACGACTACCATACGATTACCATACGACTAACATACGGCCACCATAAGATTGCCATACGACTACCGTACGACTACCGTACGATTACCATACGATGACCATCCAATTACCATGCGATTACCCTACTACTACTACCACTACTACTACTACTACTACTACTACTACTACGTCGACGACGACGACGACGACGACTGCTACTACTACTGCTATCCTACTACTACTGCGGTTACTACTACTACTACTACTACTACTACTACTACGACTACTACTACTACTACTACTACTACTACTACGACGACTAAAACTACTACTACTACTACTACTACTGCTACTGCTATTGCGACTGCTACTGCTACTACTACTACTACTACTACTACTACTACTACTGCGACGACGACGACGACTACTACGACTACGACTACTACTACTACTACTACTACTACCACTACTACTACTACTACTACTACTACTATTACTATTACTACTACTACTACTACTACTACTACTACTACTACTACTACTACTACTACTACTACTCTTTCTCCGCCTCATCGTCCTCCTCCTCCTTCTCCTCCTGTTCCTCCTCCTCCGCATCCTCCTTATCCTCCTCTTCCTTCTCCTCCTCCTTCTCCTCCTTCTCCTGCTCCTCTATATCCTCCTCCTCCTCATCCTCCTCCTCCGCCTCCTACTCATCCTCATCTTCCTCCTCCTCCTCCTTCTTCTCACTATCACCGTCACCATACAAACACACTCACCGTCACCATCACCATCAACATCACCATCACCATCACCATCACCATCATCATCATCATCATCATCATCATCATCATCAGCAGCAGCAGCAGCAGCAGCAGCAGTATCATCATCATCATCAGCAGCAGCAGCATAAGCATCATCATCAGCAGCAGCATCAGCATCAGCATCATCATCATCTGCATCATCAGCATAAGCATCACCATCATCATCATCATCATCATCATCATCATCAGCAGCAGCATCATCACCATCAGAATCAGCAGCAGCATCATCGTCACCGCCGTTATCGTCATCGTCGCTGTCGTCAACCTCCGTATCATCATCAGCAGCATCATCAGCATCGTCAATATCATCATTGTGATCACCATCCTCGAAGTCATCATCATCATCATCATCATCATCAGCATCAGCAGCAGCATCAGCATCAGCATCAGCATCAGCAGCATCAGCAGCATCAGCAGCATCATCATCATCATCGTCATCATCATAATCGTCATCATAATCATCATCAGCAGCATCAGCATCAGCATCATCATCATCCTCAGCAGCAGCTTCATCATAATCATCATCAAAAGCATCAGCATCATCATAACCATCATCAGCAGCATCATCATCATAACCATCAGCATCATCATCAGCAGCAGCATCATCAGTATCATCATCAGCATCATCCTCATCATCATCAACATGGTGTCCATCCCACTACTCCTGCCGCTTCTCCTCATCCTCCTCGTCCTCCTGATCCTCCTCCTCCACTGCCTCTTCGTTCTCCCCTCTCGCGCGCTGCGGTCATGCAACCGTGCATCATCGAGTCATGGCCCGACGACCCGCCGCGGCACGATCATACAGACAGACGTACTGTAAGCAGAAAGCGCGCCCGATGCCTGAGGGCCTGTCCACGGACTCGGGGGCGCTGGCAACCTCCAGGCAGCGGGGGGGGGCGATCGTCCTCGTCGTCAGTCGTCGCCCTCCTCATCCTGATCATCATCAGGTCGGGTGTGCGGGCCATGACGGACGGGTCGGACAAGCGGGCCCTGACGGACGGGCCCAGCGGGCGGAACATCAAAGCGGGCGGGACAGCCTGAACAAAAGAGATGCCTCTAAAGGGTGGGTCGTGCGGGCGAGTCCTGACGAGTTGGTCGGGCGAGCGGGACATTCAAGCTGGCGGGCTGGGTATGAGTGAGGAAAGGAAGGAAACGACACGAGAGAGGAGAAGGAATCGAAGCCGGACGCGTCAAACTTAATGGCAAGAACCCAATATTAGTACAGAAAGGGACATGCGGCAGTCAAGAGGACGGGCTGCTCTCCCTCAAAGCTAATTTTCGCTTGGCCTGGCACGCCCCAAAATGTGCAACGGCTACACGGACGGAGAGGCGCTCCTTTTTCAAAATGGTGCCCGTGTGCAAGGTGAACTTGACGCTGGGATCCTGCAATCTTGACAGTTTCCAATACGCAGAAGGTGGATGCACCCGAAGATCCGACGCTCCCAAAAAGCTAGAGCGGCGGGACTTCGGCCGTTTTCGGCCAGTGGGGGCCCTCGCGGGGCCTCGGGAGCGTGAGAAAAAACGACCCGGCCTGAGAAACCGGCCCCTGGGAAGTGGTCTGGACCCCCGGGGCCCACGCATCGAAAAACTTGGAGCGGCCGGAGGTCTGGGCAGGACGGTTGCTCTTCTAGCACGGGGCTCGCGCCTGCATGGCACACACGTGCGCGGGTCACCTCTGCAGGGGCCGCTCACCTTTGTGACACTGGAGCGCCTGCAGGGGCGCACGAGGAGCGGGTTAGAGGCTGGAGGGCGTGCTGCGGCATCATTGGTTTGTGTTGGAACTACTCCGGCCCTTCCTCCCCATCACCATCAACCCACTCCTCCTCCTCCTCCTCCTCCTCCTCCTCCTCCTCCTCATCATCATCATCATCATCATCATCATCATCATCATCATCATCATCATCATCATCATCATCATCATCATCATCATCATCTTCCATCTCTGAAAGCACATCATCATCATCATCATCATCATCAGCATCATCATCATCATCATCATCATCATCATCATCATCATCATCATCATCATCATCATCATCATCTTCCATCTCTGAAAGCATTGGATCAGCCAGGTGTTCGGTACGTTGACGGTAGACCTCAGATCGACAAAAGTCTGAAAGCGAGAATGACGGAAGAAACGATGGCTGCTGGGAATGTGGCTGAACTTGCAGCTGCTGCGGCCCCTTGTGGGCAAGAGCTGAGTAGAGCTGGAGATGATGAGGGCGATGATGTTGAGTTTGATGGTGACGGTATTGGACCCAAGGAAAATTTAGACGTCATAAGGCTCTGCCACCTCCTGACCCCAACCCTGTGAGGATGGCCACTCTGGAAGCCCAGTTCAGGAACTTCGGGGAGCTTCTCAAGCAGGAGCTGAAAGACCACCGTTATGATATCTCAATGGAAATCAAGAGTGCCATACTGCCGGTGCAGAAAAACAACTACATCCGTTTCAGGAGGACCAGGAGGACATCAATCTTGAGCAGGCTGAGATATACAAGAAGTTGATGAGTAAAATGGAAGCGCTTCGATCGGGTCGGAATGTGCCTGAGAATGCTAGTGTTGCTTCTGACTCGACTCGTGCCAGTGCCAATGGCTAGAATCGTGAACAGAACAGGGTGAGATTTCGTACCTAGCTACATTAAACTACAAGGATGGACGAGTGGAGACCCAAAGGATACAGAGGCGAGGCAATCGAACATCATGAGTGACGAGAGGCCTCCTCCCCCTCCTCCTCCCCCTCCTCCTCCTCCTCCTCCTCCTCCTCCTCC